TAGTTACTTGGGGGAGGGTAGTGGCTGAGGTAGTTACTTGGGTGGGGGTAGGAAAAGGGTAATTATTTGGTGGGGGGTGGGGCAGGTGGTTACCTTGGTGGAGGGTAGTGGCTGAGGTAGTTACCTTGGTGGAGGGTAGTGGCTGAGGTAGTTACCTTGGTGGAGGGTAGTGACTGAGGTAGTTACCTTGGTGGAGGGTAGTGGCTGAGGTAGTTACCTTGGTGTAGGGTAGTGGCTGAGGTATTTACCTTGGTGGAGGGTAGTGGCTGAGGTAGTTACCTTGGTGGAGGGTAGTGGCTGAGGTAGTTACCTTGGTGGAGGGTAGTGGCTGAGGTAGTTACCTTGGTGGGTAGTGGCTGAGGTAGTTACCTTGGTGGAGGGTAGTGACTGAGGTAGTTACCTTGGTGGAGGGTAGTGGCTGAGGTAGTTACCTTGGTGGAGGGTAGTGGCTGAGGTAGTTACCTTGGTGGAGGGTAGTGGCTGAGGTGGTTACCTTGGTGGAGGGTAGTGGCTGAGGTAGTTACCTTGGTGGAGGGTAGTGGCTGCGGTGGTTACCTTGGTGGAGGGTAGTGGCTGAGGTAGTTACCTTGGTGGAGGGAGGCCAGATGGACAGTAGAGTAGTAGCTGTGTGTCTGTCAATCATCCAGCCAAGACCAGGCAAGACCTCCACCCGCCGCAGGATGGCCGGGTCGTGGGCAGAGTGTAAGGCAGCCAGGTCACTCCAAGCACTCACACAACACACTGACGCGTCCAGCTCAAGCAACACTGCTGTCTGGTTGAAGTAACTGTAAGATAACTTCAGTTGTTTATTCAACTTTATTCCACAATGTGAAGATCAGAACAAGAAAAATATATTATATGAAAGTAACAATAGCATCAGTAGCAGTAGTTACAATAGTTCAGTACCAGTAATAACAATAGTAACAGTAGCAGTAGTAACAATAGTAACAGTAGCTGTAGCAACAATAGAACCTCATAGGTATGGTAACCTTAGACCTGCAAAAGGCCTTCGATACTGTCAACCACAATATATTATGCAAGAAACTTCAAGCTATCGGTATAGGTTCTGTAGACTGGTTTAAGTCCTACCTTAGCAACAGGAGACAAATTGTCAAAATCAACAAAACGGAATCAGAACCCCTGCCGATAGCATGTGGAGATCCCCAAGGTAGTATTCTGGGTCCCTTATTCTTACGCTATGTCAATGACATGCCTATCAGTGTCAAGTGCAAACTCCTACTGTATGCAGATGACAGTGCCCTGTTTGTCAGGTAAAGACCCACAAGATATAGCTAATGTTTTAACACTGGAACTGGAGTCCTGCAGCAAATAGTTAGTAGACAACAAACTATCATTACACCTCTGGAAAACTGAAGCCATTCTCTTTGGCACGAAACATAAAATGAGAAGGGTAAATAATTTTAATGTCCAGTGTAATGGGGAGCCCATCACTTTGGTTTCATCAGTAAAATATCTGGGAATCCCCTTTGACCCATGCATGTCAGGAGAATTGACAGGGAATTGAAGCGAATGCCAGACTGAAGTTCCTGTATAGACAAGCACAGTGTCTACCTACTGAGGCTCGCAGGACCCTATGTCTAGCCCTTATACAATGTCAAATGGATTACGCTTGCTCTTCATGGTACTCTGCCTTGACAAAAAAAACTGAAAGATAGACTGCAAATCACCCAGAACAAAATCGTAAGATTCATCCTGGGGCTGGGACCAAGAGAACATGTAGGCCAGGATGAATTACAGCAGTTGGATATGCTGAATGTTGAAGACAGAGTAAAACAACTGAAGCTAAATCATGTTTATAAAATTGCTCACAAACAGTGTCCAGAATATCTTGCTGTCATAGTACTAGGGGGAGAGAGCACAACTTTGTAGTACCCACAGTCATTGTCCAGGCTTCAAACACCTTTTATTGTACAGCAATAAAGAAATGGAACAGACTACCCGCACATGTCAAAGCCAGTCATAGCATGAACCAGTTCAAGAAGAGTGCCAAAAGGTGTCTGATGAATGTAGCTACAGAAAGGGAGGGGAATTGATTTCAATTTTTTAGCTAACATACGTGTAAATTTTACCTTCCTAGTAATGACCCTCGTATTGTAGAGAGTCTTAATGACCCTCGTGTAGTAGATAGTCTTTTTAGTATGATAATAAGATGTTATCTTCATTATAGAATAATAAGAAAACATTATAACCTTTATATTATAATAATAAGGTAAAAGGACCCCAATGGCAATAAGTCACTCTGTCTGACTTTTTTGGGTTATCCCAGGTTCTCTACACATATGCTGCTATGTATGATAATTCTATGTAACTGTATTTGTGTATACCTGAATAAACTTACTTACTTACAATAGTAACAGTAATAGTAGTAACTGTAGTATCAGTAACAGTAGTAACAGTAACTGTAGTAACAATAGTAACAGTAACTGTAGTAATAATAGTAACAGTAACTGTAGTAATAATAGTAACAGTAATAGTAGTAACTGTAGTATCAGTAACAGTAGTACCATTAACTGTAGTAACAGTAGTACCAGTAACTGTAGTAACAGTAGTAACAGTAACTGTAGTAACAGTAGTAACAGTAACTGTAGTAACAGTAGTAACAGTAACTGTAGTAACAGTAGTAATAGTAACTGTAGTAATAGTAGTACCAGTAACTGTAGTAACAGTAGTAACAGTAGTACCAGTAACTGTAGTAACGGTAGTACCAGTAACTGTAGTACCAGTAACTGTAGTAACAGTAGTACCAGTAACTGTAGTAACAGTAGTACCAGTAACTGTAGTAACAGTAGTACCAGTAACTGTAGTAACAGTAGTAACAGTAACTGTAGTAACAGTAGTAACAGTAACTGTAGTAACAATAGTACCAGTAACTGTAGTAACAGTAGTAACAGTAACTGTAGTAACAGTAGTAATAGTAACTGTAGTAACAGTAGTAATAGTAACTGTAGTAACAGTAACTGAAAGTAACAGTAATTTAAAAGTAACGTAGTAATTATTAAATGTAGAAACATTTAGTACCAGTAACTGTAAGAAACCCAGTAACTGTAGTAACAGTAGTACCAGTAACTGTAGTACCAGTAACTGTAGTAACAGTAGTACCAGTAACTGTAGTAACAGTAGCACCAGTAACTGTAGTAACAGTACTGTAGTAGCAGTAGTAACAGTAACTGTAGTAACAGTAGTAACAGTAACTGTAGTAACAGTAGTACCAGTAACTGTAGTAACAGTAGTACCAGTAACTGTAGCAACAGTAGTACCAGTAACTGTAGTAACAGTAGTAATAGTAACTGTAGTAACAGTAGTAACAGTAACTGTAGTAACAGTAACTGTAGTAACCGTAGTAATATTAAATGTAGTAACAGTAGTACCAGTAACTGTAGTAACAGTAACTGTAGTAACAGTAGTACCAGTAACTGTAGTACCAGTAACTGTAGTACCAGTAACTGTAGTAACAGTAGTGCCAGTAACTGTAGTAACAGTAGCACCAGTAACTGTAGTAACAGTACTGTAGTAGCAGTAGTAACAGTAACTGTAGTAACAGTAGTAACAGTAACTGTAGTAACAGTAGTACCAGTAACTGTAGTAACAGTAGTACCAGTAACTGTAGCAACAGTAGTACCAGTAACTGTAGTAACAGTAGTAATAGTAACTGTAGTAACAGTAGTAACAGTAACTGTAGTAACAGTAGTAACAGTAACTGTAGTAACAGTAGAAAAATAGTAACTTTTAGTAACAGTAGTAACAGTAACTGTAGTAACAGTAGTAATAGTAACTGTAGTAACAGTAGTAACAGTAACTGTAGTAACAGTATATTATAACCCAGGAATCCAAATGGCCTGTTATCCCGGGTGTAATGGGAGCAAAATAAACACAGCAGAAAAAGTTTAGACTTATATTATCCTTCACCAATTTAGAACAGCAATATGTACACTATGTACAGTGATAAGTATAGTGCACTCCACGGTAAGCAAGGCAGAAATAGAAGCCACAAGATAGCAGACCGTGCTTCAACCAGCTCTAGAATGGGAATGACAAGGGCAGACAGGAGAGTGGTACCCACATAACCTCTGCGATTGCCAAAACCATCTTCTTATTGGCTAAACCCCTGGCCCACTAGTTGAACGAGGGAGGCCCCATCATCAAACTCTTAGAAAACCTGGGTTCGCTGGTTTTGGGAGAGATAGCCTGTAAATGAGGGTGTGTACATGCGCCGAATAAAGGTTACGTACTCTTTGCATGCCACCCCCCCACCCCGAGAAGGCTCAGGATTGGGCTGCCACCTCCCAGTGGTAACCGTGCCGCCAGGGCAAAAAAATAATGGGACTGCCTTTCCTCTCCACCATCCAACTCTTAGATAGAGCTCAGTTTTTCTCGTGACAAAAAGCCAAACCCTAAACTCAAAGTGAGACAGCAGTTTAGTCAGGCTAGCATAGGTCCAAGATACAGGCGGACGGTACCCCGCATCCCCTCACTAAAAAAAAAAACTCACACCAGGGGATAAAAAAAAAAAGAGCGTAAAAAGGGGGTTTTACCACAAATATAACATCCTAACCTAAAATAAATAAAAATATTAGACTCTAGATAAAGAGTCCGCCAACACATTTTCTTTGCCGGCAATATATTTAATTCTGAGTGAGTATGGTTGCAGTCTTAGCGTCCAGCGCATGAGCCTTGTGTTGTGGTTCTTCATGGCTTGGAGATATACTAAGGTTGTGATCACTGTAACTGTGACCACCTGCGATGTCTGGCCCACAAAAAACATCGAAATGCTCCAAAAGCCAGTACCAGCGCGAGGGCTTCTTTTTCAATGGTAGAGTAAGCCCTCTGATGTGGCTGGAACTTGGCTGAAAAGTATGCTACAGGCTGCAACTCCTCATTCTCGATTTGTAATAGTACTGCCCCAACCCCAGACTCACAAGCATCAACCTGTAATGAAAAAGGTTTGAAGAAGTCTGGAGACAAAAGAATGGGTGCAGTACACAATAATCTTTTTGCTTTTTTTAAAAGCAGTGTTACAGTCTGAGGTCCAATTAAAGGGGAACTTTGTGACTTGAAAGAGAGGTAAGAGGGGCTACAATATCTGAGAAATTCTTACAGAATCTTCTGTAAAATCCTATCATGCCTAGGAAACGTGAAGAGATTTCCTATCATGAGGAACTGGATAATCTTTAATGGGCAAGAACTTTACCCAATTTTAGGTTGCAACTTTACCACTACCTATTCATGGCCTAGAAAAGTGACAGTGGCCGGGCCCAAAAGGAAGTTTGGATAAATTAACTGTTAAATGGGAACTCTGAAAGGTCTCAAAAAGAGCCTTAAGTCTAAGTAGGTGTTGATCCCAAGTATCAGACACCACAAAAATATCATCTAGGTACGCTGCCGTCCCCTTCAAGTCCTTTAATAGCCTGATGGATAAGTTTCTGGAATGAAGAGGGGGAATTTTTCATTCCGAAGGGGGTAACTGTGTATTGATAATGACCTGCTGGAATTACAAAGGGCAGAGATTTCCTTCGCCTTATTCGTTAAAGGTACCTGATAGTAACCTTTAAGGAGATCTAACTTGGACACAAAAAGTAGCCTTACCCCAAAGTCAATTACGTCATCCAGACGGGGAAGAGGGAAAGGGCATCTGTAATTGTGACCTCATTCACCTTACAGTAGTCTGTACACATACGAAACCCCCATCAGCCTTCTTCACAAGGATGCACGGTGAAGCCCATGGACTAGAGGGACTCCTCCCAAAACCATGCTTTAACAAAAATTC